GCAAGCTAGAATATATATATATATATATATATATATTCTAGCTTGCCTTACTTTTCCACTCGGGCAGTTCCACTTCCCTTCAAACTCAGGTCCTCTAGCAGAGGCCTGGGAGTTTGAGGGTTCTGTTCATAATCTCAGCTGTTCCTTGGCCTGTGCTCTTTGGACAGAGATCTCTGAGGTTGTTCCTGAGATCTGTTGGAGTCAAGGGCAAAAATTCCATTTCTTTCTTAGGGGGGTCAGTAAACAGGGAGTTTTTTTTTTTATTCCTTTATTTTACCAAGAAGAAAATCCATTGAGATCATCAATCTCTTTTACAAGGATGTCCTGGAGTTGTTTTAAGAGCAATATTTGAGGGGGTCCCTTAAGATACAGTCAAATGTATTGTTAGTGAAATGAACCAACTAAATGAACGCAATGAAAATGAAACAATCATTTCAGTGTTTGTCATGCAAACAAGTTGCAGAAACTAAACTAACAGGAGCACCAAATGTCTTTCTCCACCCACCATTTTTTGTCTCTTTAAAGTTCTCTGTTCACTTCCTGATCATGCGGTCATGTGACTTACAACAAAGTTTGTTTATTACAAAAATATTAACTATATAATCTATAATAACAGGTTGCAAAACATCCGACATGCATCCATACACAATAATAAAGTCCAAAATGAAATTTGAAATTTGGTTTTGATATGGCTAGAGTCATTCATGACAAATACTCTTGAATGTGACGTCTTGTACAACGTTATTTACAAGATTTCTCACCATACGATTAGTTTAAAACTCGGGCATGACAGGTGATGGGTGATAAGCATTCCTCTAACAATTGCTACACTTTAAATTGTAAGAGCAGGTTTGAAAACATCTATTGTGACAAAGCTTCACACACTAGAGCAAGAGTTTATTTTTTATGGTATTTGAGTTTTAACCTTTTCTGTTTTTCCCTCTCAGGAGTTCCTCAGTGATAAAGACCAAGGTCAGTCGAAGGTGAACGCTGTGGTTGTGAACGGTGAGCATTTTTGCAGCATTGCAGCCAAAGACAAAACTGATGCAGTCCGGGTTAAAACAAATGCTGCCAGAGAAGACTGGAAAAACATCGTGTCTAGTCTGCACAACCGAGAGACAAGTCTGCAAGTAAGTACTGAGGTCCCTGGTCAAGTTGCTGGTAAAAATGAGCGTTTTAAACAAAACCCTTTCAATCTGTCTGGCAGTTATTTGATTTTGAGTTTAATGTTCATCTGACTCATCCAGTTTGGTCTGACTCCCTCACCTAGCAGCCACCTCTACAAACATCAAACCAACATGATGTGACTCCTCACAGCATGTGCTTATCTTTTACTTATGATGGGCTAACTCATGTAGCACAACAGCTGTTTAAAAGCAGAGAAAGCATCTGAACAAGTGCTAATCTCAGCCGCAGCTTTATGATGTCATACCTTTGTCTGTTGCACACGGATGAATTCATTCAAGGTCTGCTTTTCTACTTTTAACCAGCCTTTTGCTATGTTTCACTTTTCGCAAGCATTTTCGTACTTTTAGCTTTTATGTTTTGTTCTGCTACTTTTTTATTTTATCAGCTGCTTTTAGCTTGCCTTTTCTATTCTCAATTTTTAGCTACCATTCTGCTACTTTTGCAGTGTAGCTAACTGCTACTTTTAGCTTTTAAGGAGTCTTTCTGCTTGTATCTGTTGTTCTGCTATTTTCAGGTTTTACTAGCCATTTTCTACTTTAATTTTCATATTGGATTTAATTCTTTTTAGACTTTTAGCTAGACATTTTCTACATTTTGCTATTATCTAGCTTTTACTACACTTAGCTTTTAGCTGATATTTTGCTAATTTAGCTTTTAGCTAGCTTTTAGCTAGCATTCCATAGTTTTTGTTTTTAGATAGCGTTCTGCTTCGTTTAGCTTTAGCAACTCAGTTTCAACTTATTCAGCTCATTTTTGCAACATTTAGTATTACATTGCAGTTTTGCAGAAAATGTTATTTATGTATTCATTTTATTTATTTATTTATTTATTTTTAAGCAGTCAAATGGGCCAAACGGAAGACATATCCCAAGAATCTGACTTTAAAGCTGAGCTCACCCAAGACCATAATAATACTTATTAATGAATGATAATTAGTACTTCAAATTTGCCCATCTTAACTAGACTTAAAATATTCAAAAATCACTGCCATCCCTACTCACTGACAAATACACTCTTTCTGTAAAACTTGAACTAAATTTGTGAGTTTCAGATCAAGACAAACATTTTGATTGTCTTTACTGTAATTTCAGAACCTCCTTTCTCAAATGAAGGACTTTGAAGCGAGCGCTGAGCCTCTTCAGGAATGTTTGAATGCCACCGAGCTGACTGTGCAGGAGAGCAGCACGAGGCTTTACGATCTCACGGCCAAGAAGCTTGAGCTTCACAAACTGCAGGTACGAAGGTCTGCAGTTCATCGGGCTTGGACCCACACTGATGGTGTTAATCTGACAAGTTGTCCATGTGCAGAATACTCCTCATTTTAGATTTCCATTAGACATTTTTAGACTTGGGAAGAAAGCACGTTTGCTAACTGCCAGTACTTTTTGCTTTTTGTTGCTTATATGTCTGCTTACGAATGTGTTGAAATGTTTGGTTGATATTTATCTAAAACAGAGCTTTTTATCACATGCCACTCGAGGCAACAGGAACAATGTTGCTTCTCTGTTTATATTTGTTTGTATTGTTTCCAAAATATCTCGTGACTTACTGGGCAGATTTTAATGAAACCTTTCAGAAAGTAATCAGTGGATTCACATGTACAACTGATTCACTTTTGGAGTCAGTCAGATGACTTCCACAACCAACTGACTCTAGACAAAACAAAAATGATTATATCGCAGCCAATATTTGAGCTAAAGTTTAGGGTGGTAGTAACAAAGCATGTCCCCTAACACCTACTCTGAGCTAAAGACATTGCTCATCTTTTAGCCTAAAACTTCAACACTGCCTGTCCTTTAGCAAAATGAAACAATGGATCAATTTATCCAAAACTGTCAGGAAGTAATCACTGGATGTACATCTACAACCGATTAACATTTGAATTTACCTTAATTTAATATGATCCCACATATAATTGATTTTAGCAAACACAAATATGGACATAACGGTCAGTTTTACAGAGCTGGTGTGGTAGTAGCTGAGAGTCATTCATGTAACATTCTCAGAGCGCAAACACATCTTACCATACAATACCACTGTATTTATAAAGCACTTAAAACAGCAGCAAGGCCAACCAAAGTGCTGTACAACAAAACAAAGCAAAGGACACAGCATAAAATACATAGAATCCATGAAGTAAAGATAAGAACTAAATGACTAAAATAAAACACAGTGAAGTTAAAATCAGCTCGCACAGTGTCAAAATCCAGGGAGTGAAAGTGAGTTTTCAAACGAGACTTAAAAACAGTGAGAGAGGGGCCTGCCTGACATGCAGTGGTAACTCATTCCACAGTTTTGGACCTGCAACACAGAAGGTCCTGACAACTCTGAGCTTAAAACGATCGCCTGGACCCAATAAAAGCATCTGGTCTGCTGATCTCAGAGAGCGCTGTGGGACATATGGCTGCAGCAGATCAGCGAGATAGGAAGGGGCAGCACTGTTCAGAGATTTAAAAACATGTTAAAAGATTTTAAATGAATTTGAAAGTGAACTGGGAGCCAGTGAAGGGAGGCCAGCACTGGAGTAATGTGCTCTGTTTTGCCTGTATCAGTTAAAAATCAGGCTGCAGCATTTTGAACCAGTTGTAAATAGAGGTCTGACTGATTCCAAAGAGAAGCACATTGCAGTAATCAACCCTGGATGTTATATGAAACAATATAAAACAGCATGTAATACTGTTTCAAGGTTACTTTTGGAAAGTAAGGGCTTCAATGTAGACAGTCGCCTCAATTGAAAAAAACAAAAGCAAAAAAATAAACAGGATTTAACCATCGTGTTTACATGACTGTTTAGTTTTACGGAAGGGTCCATTTGTACTCCCAGATTAGTAACAAATTGTTTCTCTAACGGGGCTAGAGAGGAAAGTTTGATACAGTGGTTCCTGATTGTGCCATTAGGTAAAAACAACATGACTTCTGTCTTCTTCTCATTAAAATTAAAGCTATCCAATCCCTGGTGTCAACCAGGCAGTCAGGAAGAAGTTGGATAGAGCGTGCAGCAGTGTGCTTCAGAGGGAAGTAAATTTGACAGTCATCGGCATAAAAATGAAAAGGGATGCTGTGTTTACGAAAAATAACATCTAGTTGCAGCAGGTATAAAGAAAAGAGTAGAGGTCTGAGAATAGAGCCCTGCAGTACCCCCCACCGAACATCTGCAGACGTTGAAATAAAATCCTTGATGTAGACACAAAAGGTTCTATTGGAGAGATAGAACCTAAACCATCTGAGGGCATCTTGTGAGATTTCACAATGTCAGATGAGATTGCACGTAACGTCATGCACAAAGTTGGTCCAAACGGCTACAACTCCGATCCTTCTCAACATCCAATCATTTTAATTTCAAACTCTGGAATGAAAGATATTGGGCAACATGCATTCCTTCAAGAAACACTACGCCTCTATTTATAAAAACTAAGATTTTAAAATACTTTTGTTAAAACCTGCCCACTATTTCTGGCTGCGTGTCATGACCAACAGTTTTACTGAAAGTGACGCTGACTAAATCTCTCGTTTCTTTCCGTCTTGCTCTCTTCTCTAACAAGCTGCTGTGTGTCTGAACTGAACTGTTCTGGATCTCTGTGTCAGCTCGCATGCCTCTTTGATAACCTGCTTGTGCTCTTCCAGTCTGTGCTTGAGGAGTTGACCTCTCTCGAGGTTCAGCTGAGCAGACTTAAAGAGAAAGCCCAGCTGTTGTGGGACGAACACTCGGCCGGCAAGGGCTTTGCGCACCGTATCTCGCAGCTCTCTGCTCAGTACCTATCTTTAACCAACCTGACCAAGGTAAAGTAATAACTACCAAGCCTGCCTGGGCACAGGGACTTGTAGGGGGGTAGCTGGAGAGGAGACAGGAGTGTTAGACTGGATGGAGATCTGACTCAGCATTAGTTTACAGGTGGTATGCAGTCAAAATAAGAATTCATTGTTAAACTTTTTTTAATCTCCTGTCTTTAGGTGTGTGTGCTTTGTTTTTGTAATTGTTTTAAGAATGCATTCTAGTAAAATAACCTAACTTGCCAGAACCAGTTGTCCTTATGGGAATCGAAGCCCAGTCCTAGTTTGGTGCAGCGTCATTGTTGAGTTGGCAGAGAGATTTAAGGCAAAGATGAAAATTCAGTTTAGGTTAGTGTTGGGCTACAGACATAAATACAAGTCAATTTAATTTCCTAATAAGGAGTTAAATACAACTTTTGTGTGTGTGTGTTGGCAAAATATGTATGAAATACTGGATCAGGGTTCACAGTGACACTGGAAATCAGGGAAAACCTGTTAAATTATTTTAATGTACTTTGAACACTGATCTTCTGATTAAAAGATCATCTTTCAGAGATTTTTATATGTTCTAATTCTAGTACTCTAGTATAATTTACTCCATGTTCTGCTTCTACAGTGTACACAGTACATATATCCTTACTGATCGGTTACTGTATGCAAGTACTGTAGGATACAGTGTACTACTTCCTGCCATCTTTGAATGTGACTGCCTGCCACCTAAGATGCTAAGTTCTGAGCGTTCTGTGTGACTGAAATATCTCGTGGATTTTCAGGATTTCTTCAGGGAAAACAAAGGGATTTTATTTTATTTATGTTTTGTGTGTGAAATGCTGGGAACCCTGTGGATGGATTTTAATGAAACCTTCAGAAAGTAATGATTGATTAACTTTCAACGCCAACCCCGTTCAAGATGGTCGCCACGGCTAATCAAGTTTAGCAAACTCCTTCGAGGAATGCTACTTTCATTGTTCTTATTATAATTTATGGTGGATATGCAAATACATTTTTGTAATGTTTGTTTTTGTAAGCTGTCCCTTTGAAACTTGTACCTTTCTGGGAAAAATATATATAATTTTCATCTTTACAATTTATACTGGTCATTCTCTAGTTTTTCCATTGTTTTCTCAAGTTTTTGTTTATTTCTCTGCAGGAGAAGGCATCTCGGATAGATCGGATTGTTACCGAGCACCAGCTTTTCTCCCAAGGGTTAAAGGAGCTGCAGAACTGGATGGTAGACACCAGCCATATGTTGCAGACGTACAGCACCCCCACCGCTGACAAAAACATTCTTGACAGCAGAATGATAAAGCTGGAGGTACAGAACGTCACCTTTGTTTTCAAACCATCACAGTAAACGGACTGGGTTGTAATCAGTGCAAACGGATGTTTGTTGCTCCAGGCTTTGCTGACTGCTCGACAGGAGAAGGAGATCCAGCTGAAGATGCTGATCACAAGAGGAGAGTCGGTTCAGAGAAACACCTCCGCTGAGGGGGTGCCTCTAATCCATAAACAGATACAGGACCTGAAGGACTCCTGGGATGCCCTGCTCTCCGCTGCCATTTTGTGCAAAAGGTTCACTTCTGTTGCTTTTGTTGCTCTTTTTTCACGTCCCCTCTATTATTATTATTTTAAATAATCTATTATTTTAAATGATATACATATAATATAACTTTCCATTTTCTGTCGTCTGCTGTTGAAAACCTACAGCCAGCTGGAGCGTTCTCTGTCTCAGTGGACGAGCTACCAGGAGGACGTCTGTCAGTTTGTGGCTTGGATTGAACATATTGAAGAGGACCTTGAGCTCTCAGACAAACAGTGCCCGGAAATAAGAGATAAAACTGCCAATCTAAGCAAAGCGAAGGTGCAGCTGCCTTCCAGAAGCTACTGGTTTACAGTTTTTTATGTTTATGTACATTCTTTGCTTTCTCTGCAGTTTAACAACTTCTTCATACATTGAGCTAGTTTGGATATATTTAAGTTATATTTAATTTACTTATTAAAAAAAAACTAACTATCACTTTCTTCAAAAACATTGTCTTTTAAATCTTGCTTTACTTTTTTTATTGTGCTACTACCTCTGTCTTTTAATTACTTTTAGCTTATTTTGCCTAGCCTTTTACTACCTGCCTTTTTTGCAAGCAAACTGCATCTTTTTTTTCATTCAACCTTTATTTATACAGGTTAATCCCATTGAGCCTCAGAGACTCATTTACAAAAGAGACCTTTTAGCTAGCGTTTTGCTACATTTAGCTTTTAGTTAGCCTTTTACAACCTTTCACATTTTTTTTCATTCACCCTTTATTTAGACCGGTTAATCCCATTGAGCCTCAGGGACTCATTTACATAGCCTTTTGATATTTCTAACTAGCATTTTTCTACGTTTAGCTTTTAGCTAGCCTTTTGCTATGCTTAGCTTTTAGCTCACCTTTAGCTATATTTAGTTTATAGCTAGACTTTTTCTATATTTAGCTTTTAGCTAGCATTCTGAAGTGTTCTAGATACCCTATTGCCATTTTTAGTTTGTACTTAGCCTTTAGCTACAATTAGCTTTTATCTGGGCTTTAGCTAAATTTAGCTTTTAGCTAGCCTTTTGCTACTTTTGACTTTTAGCCAGTGTTCTGCATGTTTTAGCTTTAACTAATCTCTTTCAGGTTTGTTCAGCATTTAGAGGTATTTTCTTTGAACGTTACTGATGTCAAAAGTTCCTGAAGTGTGCAGGTTTGAACTGGAACAAAACTAACTGATAATGAAATGTTCTTTTTTATTTTAGCTTCTTTATGAGGATGTGCTCAGCCACAACTCTCTGCTGGAGACCATCACTGTAAAAAGTGCTGGTATCACCGAAAACTATGTCACTCAGCTCGAGCTGCAAGAACTCCAGGAGCGTTACAACGCCGTCAAAGACAATGCCATGGTAACAACGTAGTTCTTTGTGTTGGATTGAAAACTTTGTTCTGATTTGTTGATACATTTTACCTCCATGTAGATCAAATTTTGACAAACATTCTTTATAAATGAACTGAAGTGCAACGATTGTATGCAAAAATGAACTTTGTTGATCGTTAATAATGTTTGTTACTTTTGATGCCATTTAATAAGATATTATTTTTAAAAGCCTATTCAGGTAAATTACCTCATCCTTTTTTAAAATTATTAACCTTTATATAACCAGGCAAAAACCATAGAGATCACAGATCTGTTTGCAGGCAAAGGAGGCCTGGGCCTGAAGGCAGCCTAACATGCACATTTAAACTGTGTTTGAAAAGTGTTAGTGCGTTCAACCGATGGCTAAATGATGTGGCAAATGTCAAAGGAAATATGATAATAAGCAGCAGTCTGATTCAGTGCCCATGTTGCTCCTCAGAGGGCTGTTGGCAAAGCAGAAGATCTGGTAAAAGCCCATCAAGAGTATCAGCAGGACATTCGTGCATTTGAGGAGTGGCTGGAACAAGAGCAAGAGAAGCTCGGCTGTTACACACAGCTGGAGGGAGATGTTGATATGCTGGAGGACACCATCCAAAAACTGCAGGTTGTTTTCTCTTTACTGTCAGTGACCATGACATTCTGTGACAGCCTTGTCATGTAGCAAGAAGATGAATATCAGGGAAAGTTTGCATTTAGTGAGTGATAAAGCACAGCTATGCTTTGTCCTGGCAGGAGCTGCAGCTGCACTGCACAGAGGGTCAAGCTCTGCTGAACACCCTGCTGCTGAGCAGAGAGCCGGTCATTCCCTGGGGTCTGCCCCAGATCGAGGAGAGAGCGCTGGAAACCCTTCAGCAGGAGTGGAGGCTCTACCAGGCCCGGCTGGCCGATTCCCGCGCTCAGCTCAACAGCGCTTTGGCCAAACTTCGACAGATGGAGCAGAAGTTCCAGCGTCTCGACAGCTGGCTGAAAGCCATGGAGACCAAAGCCCAACTGCGTTCTGATCGCCGGTCGGATCGTGACACCAAGAATGCGCAACTTCAGATGGTCAAGGTTTGTGAACACAGAAGTATGGCTGTGCAGTTAGTTGAGTTGGTAGTTTGGACTTTGATTTTTGCTCTAAGTGATGAAAAAAGTGTATAACTGACAATAAATAAACCCTTTTGCCACATTTCACTTTGCCAGCATGCTCACCTCCTGAATGAGGTGCAGCCCCCAGAGAGAGACAGACGCACAGAGAGCTCTGCTGCGTTGAGAAATGAACACCAACAACAAAGTTTATAACAAAACAATTCATGGAAAACGAGGCGAAAATCAACTTTATGTAAGTTTTGTACGTGGCGACTGGAACCACACTGGGAAATTATGCTTTTGTCTCTTGTCGCAAAGCAAAGAGGGGAATTGGAACTATTGTCTGTCCATCTGTCCAGATGATGTGAGCGCAACTTGAAAAATAAATGAAGTGCTCACTTCCATTTTTGTTGTGTGGCTGCATCTCGGTGTGAAGGTGGTTTGCCGCTCTCTCAACTCTCACTGGCTCCACACCAGTTAAGGGCCTGCCCACTGCCGGTATCCGCCCCACTCAGTCTGGTGTATGGGACCACCTTGTTCGTGGTTCCAAGCGGGCTGCTCCGCGGTGATGATGTTGACGTAAACAGACAGAGGTCGTTGACTGGCCAGCTGAGCTACGTCACTGGATGACCCGCCCAGCAAAACTGAAAACTACATCTGAACCTCTGCTTCCTCATCATGTTGAAGGACGGCGCCACAAGAAATGAGCACATTTATCGAGATATATCATAGATAATGTTGCAACATGGCTACACCCGGATGTATAATAGTTCCAAGATAAGCTAACGAAATTGAAGTCTGACCACTCCATCAATTGAGGACACTCTGCTTTCTAATTGTGTGTGTATATATATATATATATATATATATATATGTATATATATGCTTAAATACTTCACTTGGTGGTGGATAAAAGTGTTCCCTCCACTCAGCAGGATTTGTCACTCTGCCACCTTGAACAAGAAAAGAACTCTGTAACTCACTTGCGTATGTTGCACCAAAATCATTTAGGTTTACTTACATTCTCTGTTCAATTCCAGTCCAGAAAAAACCTCCTCTAAAAGAACTGCAAACATTCACTACTGAAACCCCTCAGCAGCGGAGGACATTGGCTTGTTTCACATGAAAAACCCTGAAGGTCAACCTTACTTTTAGGCTTAAGATGAGCTGTTTTTTTAAACAAATTTCCATAGAAACATATCAAATGACTTATGGAGGAATTATTCTAGTAACTTTATGGCAAAAGGGGCTTAATGGATGATGGAAATTATGATTAGATACCAAGTAAATAAGTAATTACTCTGTTTAAAGCACTGAAATGCCTGTGTAGCTCCTGCACATCCTGTCTAAGATAAAATCTCATTGGAAATTAAAAATCTCTCACTGTTTAGGAACCACGCACCAGAGTTCTGGAAAGTATTTTGTCTTATCGTCAGGGAAAAGTCCACATAAAAGCATTTAATAAACTGTTAACATTTCTTGCATCACATTTTTCATTTTTAAAGTTGTGATAGTTAAAGACACAGCTTATCTTGAATATTTTTCTTCTTTCCAGTTTTTGTTTTTATGAGCGAAACTGAACTGCAGACTGCTCAAAAGCAAATGACCATGAACTTGGCTCAAACCAAACCATGGCTCAGTTTGAGCTCAGGGCAGAGAAGAGCTTCTGTTTCAGTGAAACATCATTTTTCTGTGATGACCAGATGGATTTTTATACAGACATGCCACGCTATACAGGTTTCTTAGAATATAAGATTCTGACATTACAAATATTTATTCGTTGTTTAGAGCTGGCAGGAGGAGGTGCTCGTTTATCAGGAGGAGATGGAGGGTCTGACACTTTTGGCTCAGCAGGTTCTAGATGAGACTCACATCAGCAGCCGGATCAGTACCAGGGCCACACAGATCACAGCCCGCTACCACGCCCTGCTTCTGCATTTACTGGTAACAACAACTTGATTTTGGAGTTAAATATAACTGGTTTTAAATTATTTATGCTAGTGTAACAGTAACTCTTATCACACGCTGTCAAAGGTGAAAGGGTGATTATATTTTTGCATATTGATTAAAATTGCTGTAAAATGATTTTTTTAAATGTATTTGGCTCATCGTCATCACTTTTTGTCCTGCCATTACCTTCTGTTAGTTTTCCTTCCCTCTTCTTTCATATTGCAGGAAACGATCAAACAGATCCAGGAGGAGGTGTGTTTGATTGAAGAAGCTCAGTGTGTCTTCAACACCTTCTCAGAGTGGCTCAGCACAGCCCAGAATAACTTCAGCAGCGTGGCCATACGTGTGGATGTAGTTGATCGCTTTGCTTTGGAGAGAAAGATGAAGAAACTGGAGGTATGTTGGTGAAGCGTTGTGCGTGCCGTTAGAGTTGTGTCCCCCGTCACAGAGCAAAGAGAAGAAACTGAAAATATCCTCATAATCTGGACAATAAGTAAATAAGTACCGACTTCCATTTTGGTGTGTAGCTACAGCTTTACAACAGAAAAGTTCCTTTCGATAATTGGGTTGCCTCATCTAAAAATAATAATAATAATACTTTATTTGTTTTGCACTTTTTTAAACAAATGTTACAAAGTGATTCACATTAATCAATTAAAACAACATAAAAGACACCAGAAACACAAAAAGTATACCAAATTAATTAAAATACATATCAATATGACAAAATTAAAATATGAAGAAATCCAGATATTAAAAGCCTTATTATACAAGTACGTTTTAAGTAACGATTTAAAAGAAGACAACGAAGAGACCTGTCTAATATTTAGAGGAAGAGCATTCCACAAAATTGAAGCCCTGACCATGAAAGCCCTCCCTCCGTCTGTCACCAGTCGAGCTCTGAGAGTGGAAAGTGCGACTGCAAGAAGGGATGTAAGGGGTAAGAAGCTCAGATAGATGTGATGGCCCAAGACCATTCAGGTATTTAAAAACAAGCAATACCATTTTGAAGTCAATTCTAAAAACCACAGGGAGCCGGTAAAAGTAAATCAAAGATATTAATATATACTGTATATATGTATATGTGTATATATATATATATATATATATATATATGTATCTCAAAAACTACAAGCCTTCACCTTACGAATCTTTCAGTGATGGGGGGTCATCAGCAAATTTGTCTATTTGACCTCAAAATGCACTAAATGTAATCAGATTAACTTATTTTTTTAATAAGATTATTGTGTCCTGTCAGTCTCTTCAGGCCGACATGGAGCAGGGTCACCTTTATTTAAAGACCATGAGGGAGAAGACTGAGCGAGTGATGGCCTTCTTAGAGGAGCCTGAAGCAGATCAGCTCAAGGAGGAGGTGGACATCCATCTTTTTCAGCTCGAGGAGTTAATGGCAGCTTTGCGCACGGAGCACAGCTCTCTAGAGAAATGTATCTCCCTCTCCAAAGACTATCTGGATAAATATAAATCCCAGTCCCAGTGGGTGGTGGAGACCAAGAACCTTTTATCTTCAAGTCCGGAGCCTAAAGCTGAGCTATATCAGAAGAAGGCTCAGCTCGCAAAGTACAAGGTGAGTTCAAACGGGTCAGTTCTGCTTGTGAGAAATCAGAGAAAGAAAACTTCTTAATTTTATGGATTTTATAGCATTTGCTCTGCAGTATTCCCGTTTTGTGGTCAGCTGATTTTAGTGCCTGTTTTGCTTAGTTTGGCCTTTGTTATGCTCTTTTTTATTTCTGTTCTGCTGGTTTTATTTAGCCTTTACACTCAGTTTAAATTATTTTCAGGATTAAAAAAAAAGTTGTTTAGGACTGAGCTTTCTTTCTTTTGTTTATGACTTTTTTTTACGTATGCAGACGATTCAACAGACCGTGAAGTCTCACGAGTCAGCAGTAAAATCTGTGGTTGAAAAGGGAGAAGTGCTGCTGGAGGTGATTCATGATCCCACCATCAGTGAAAACATGAAGAAGCTCCAGGCTGACTACCAAGACCTTTGTTTGGCTGCTCAGGTTTGTATCATCTTTGTAAAAGAAGTGAAAATTAAATGTTTATTCTGAACCACAGATTTAAAATTATTTCTGTGTAAATCTTGACTCAAACACATATTTTGTATGATATATTGTTTATCTATTACTGCCTTTTAACAGTAATGTGTGCATTTGCCCATGTATCATTCTGTCAGCAAAATATTTTATGAAACGGTAAATGGATTTCAGAAAGTAATTTTACAGATATTGAGGTAAAAATTGTAGCTGAGTCATTCTCAACACATACTGTAAACACTAACAAAACATGCATGAGTTTGGTTTAAAACTTAGTCGTTAACCATCAGAGTCACGTCTGTCTGTTAGCAAAATATCTTATGGAACACAGGGCAGATTTTAATGAAACCCTTTAAAGATAATGACTGAATGTACATCTGCACCTCGAGAACGTTTGACGTCAGTTCAAGTCAAGATATTTGTGTCATGTTTTTATAAAACTTTCAGAAAGTAATACGTAATTAAATATGCATCTTCACTTGTTTAAGTTTTAGAACATAATTCAAGATGCTTACCACAGCTAAAGCTTAGCCAGGTCAAAACTGCCTATAAGTCAGTCAGTTTAACAGATGTTGAGGTGAAACCTGTAGTAGTAGCTGAGAGTCATTCACAACACGTGTATGATGTTATTTTTCAAGGTTTGACTAAAATGGTCAGAACTCATTTATCATTTCTTTTAGACTGAAACTCTGGCATGAAAAGAGGCAGACAGTTGGTCTGTAGGTTTTGACTGAGCTTCTTTATCAATTAAAATAATTTGTGATTGTTGTGTTTTATGTAGACGCACGTCCAGAACCTCGTGGAGTGGGTGAAGGAGCACGAGGATTACAACAGTGAGCTGCAGGAAGTTGAAAAATGGCTGCTACAGATGTCCAGTAGGCTTGTAACCTCAGACTCTATGCAGACCAGCAATATGGAGGTGGCTACTCAGCAACTTGCTCGACACAAGGTGATTCACTCCTCTGTGAAGAAAATCATATTTTGAAAATCTTTTTGAGCGTTCTAGAAAATCCTTCAGTTAATAGATAACATCTATAATAGTAGGACATGCACTTATTATTAATGACTGTTTAGGCACGTTTCTACTCATTCAAGCCAAATATCCTGTTTACTAGTTCAACCCTTTTGATTTTTTCATTGTTTTAAGGCCATAATGGAGGAGATAGCCAGTTTTGAGGAGCGTCTCATCAGCTTGAAACAGAAGGGAGAAGGTCTCGTTGCCAGCTGTTCAGAGCAAGTTCAAGTTCATGCCAAGATTAGTCAACAAGTCCAGACTCACCTGCAGGGAACCAGAGACAGCTACTCTGCTATCTGCAGCACCGCTCAGCGTGTGAGTTGCAGATAAAAGCTGAAAGATGAATCTTATCGAAGATGTATTAGTTATAATCTCTTACGGGCAACAGGTCTACCAGAGTCTGGACCGGGAGTTGCAGAAACATGTTAGCCATCAGGACACACTGCAGCAGTGCCAGACCTGGCTCACAACAGTTCAAGAGGAGCTGCAGCTCAATGATCAGGGACCATCGGGTCTGCAGGAAGCACTGAAGCAGGTATTCAACACCACACAGCCCCAGTTGGGCTTGGAACGAAAAGTGGTTTTTATTTTTATTGATTGATAATATGCATGCAGGTGAAGCACTACAGAGCCCTTCAGGAGCAGGCCAGCACGTACCTGGACCTGGTGTGTTCTGTGTGTGACCTGTCTCATGATGCTGTGAGGGTCGCAGCTGCTGAGGTCCAGCAGATCAAACTCATGGTCAGTGTTAAAATACTCAATTTTGTTCTGTGTAACATACAAGATACGCTTCATCAACCACGGTTCTGAAACAGTGGGAACATTATGTAAAATATGAATCAAACAGCATTACTCTGCAGCTGCACACTAGTTTATAAAATTTGTTATCACGATATCAGTGAGAGCAATATTGCAACAGATCATAGGACACATTTTAAATCATGTTCTGCTGCTAATATTATATTTGTTCAATCAAACTGACTATTACTGGCCTGTGTGCCCACACCTGGTTAAATTCACCTGGTTAAATTCACCTGGTTAAATGTTAGTGATGATGAATGAGAAAGTGAGGGAGCAGGAAAAATGTGTTAATCCCAACTGATGTTGTCATGGCAAAATTAAATCATTGCCCACACCCCAAGTTTTTCTAATATTGAGCATCCCTAACAGAATGCAAATATTTGTAAACCCATATTTTATTGTTGATGCATAATAGTAAACAATGTATACTATGTTAAAGTGTTTAAATGTGTAAACATTAAACTTTGAAAATAGTACAATTTTTGTAAAAATAAATTAATAAACGCAAAAGAAGGAAGGGGGAGGGGGGAGATGCCGTGTGAATGCAGCACGGAACGTGCACAAAGAACACGCGTATAATAAATTCAGATTGTAAGAAAAGTCGCATTAAAATATTTGCTCATTATTTATGCAGATTGAAGAAAGGATGTCCAGTGCACAAGTGCTCTCAGAAGTCTGGAGAGAGCTTAAAGAACAGAAACAAGATCTGAGCAGCTTGTTTCAGGACATGGAGCAGCAGCTTCTCACCCTCTCTAGAAGACCAGCAGAACTTGAGACCAAGATTGCTCAGAACATGTTGTTTCAAGCTAAGGTGAGTAGCTCAACCGAACAATCAGCCCATGATTCTGTACACAAACTTTAACCTCTACCATTGTTTCATCATAACTATTCAGCATTGTAAACTGTTGTCATAATTCAGCATTCAGGCCTGTGTTGTAATTAAAAGTAAAACTCATGATAGATGTTTGAGTGTTCACTTCACATGGACCTCATGTCACTCAGGAATGCTGCCAGCAACTGCAATCCAAACAGAGTACCCTCACCAAAATGACTGAGACTGTGAACAGACTGACCGGTGGCCAGAATACTCCAGAACATGCAGAGCTGGACCATCTGACCCATTCCTGGCTCGAGCTCTGCCACCAGGCAAACAAGCTGCAGAGCCAGAGAGAGGAGGACCTGCAGAGGTCCAAAGATTACCACGACTGCATCGCTGCCGTGGAGGAGCTGTTCGAGAAGGTGTCCAAAGAGTGGGACAATCTGGCCAGGTGGGTTTCAGCATAAAATTTAAATCATCCATCCATCCATGCATCCATCATTTATCCATCCATCCATCCATCCATCCATCCATGCATCCATCCATTTATCCATCCATCCATCCATCCATCCATGCATCCATCTATGCATCCATCATTTATCCATCCATCCAT